CTTTTGACTTCAACTGAGTATCCTTTCTCATAATTTTTCTTGATTAAATCACCCTGCCCCTTTGCCCCATCACTTTAGAACCCCCTCTCCCATATTATAGGTTTAGATGTCTCCCCTTAAATATGTCTGATATTCAGTTCTGTTTCATTTAATTTGTACATATTTTTGTATTTTAAAAAAATGCAACTATTTATTCTTTTCTTGTGTTTTATTAAAGGACAAAGAAAAGGAAATACTGGGGGGTATTGGTGATGAGGGAGTTATATCACCAACAGACATGATATGCAAATTCAGAAGAATTGTTAGATGACTCTGTAAAAGAGGAATAGGGCATTCAGACGGCTTTTTATGAATGTAGACCATTTTCAGTCATTCAAAGGCCTGTTTTCCTGGCCTTTCTATTCATTTGCCAGCTGTTGTACCATATGGGAACTTGATGCTAACTTATTTTCCTTTTCTGTTCCTCTTTCTTTTCTGTCAGATTTCCCTTTGATCATGACTTTATTTAACCGATACATTAGTTTATCATGCACTTATAGTCTTAAAATTCAATAAGTGTTTTTAAGTCAGCTGTGCAGTTCTCCGTGTTTTATGGGCGATAGATTAAATTTTAATAATGTTTTACTTAACCCAATATGTTTAAAATATTATTAAACATGTAATCAATTTAAAAATATTGACATATTTTGCATTCTTTTTTATACTAGGTCTTTAAAATCTAGTGTGTATTTTGTACTTGCAGCACATATGCATTTGAACTAGCTGCATTTCCAGTGCTCACTCAGTAGTCACATGTAGGTAGCAGACAGCATGAGAGGAATAAGGAAAAGGTAGTGAGTGTGTTAGAAGCTAAAGGAAGGGAGAAGGGGTGGGCACTGGGCCACATGCAGCTGGGTCCAGCTATGTTCTGGGTTAGGCAGCCTCCACACTACACAACGCCTTGGGGGCTTAAAAATGTTCGGGGGACCTGGGCCAAAGGGCAGTCAGGCATATTTTTAATTAGTGTTTATACTGTTTTCTCATTGCAGCATTAGTAAATCCCTCCACCTCCAGATTTCGTTTAATCTACTCTTTAATTCATTGTACACATTTTAGACTGTTGCTGCTACACACAGATTGTCTGTTTTGTACCACTGGCATAAATGAGGCATTGCTTTAAACTACAGAATTACAGCCTGTGATAGACTCTGGCACATACTCTGTATTTGAATTCCTTCTCTGACATCCTGACAAGTCTTTAAATAGTGTTCTTTCTTCTAAGTTGGCCAGAGTTGTCATAGGTCTTTTGTTGTATAAAAATTGTGAAATAAAAAGATACCTGAAATATATTCGTCAAATATGTTATAAATTTGTTTCAAGGGAAAAAGTAAATATAACAACCTTTGATAAAGAAATTAATTCAATCAACAAATATTTTTTGTCCACCTGTGATATTCTACATTCCATAGATCACTGTTTTACAAACTGTGGATCTCAAGTGATTATGGATCAGTAAAATCAGATGGGTTGTGACTAGCATTTAAAAAAATATAATAGAGAATAATGTATCATAGTTAGTAAAAGCAATCATATTTTTAGTTTTGTTTTAGGTATATGTGTGTGTTGTGGTTCCTTTTGTAGAATTTGTTTGTTGTGTTTTACGATGGGCCATGATAAAATAAGTTTGAAAGCCATTCACACTGGTAAAGAGACATACTTCTGATCCTCAAAGAATTTGGAGTCTAATAGTGAAACAGACAATTAGTTTGAAAACTCACCACATAAGCTTTTGAACACTCTAATAGCAAATTTTAATCAGTAGAAAAATTCAAAAGCCATCTTTTCTTACTCATGATTGTGTAGCTATGCAAGGTAAAGTAATTAATGATGTAGAACATTTGATGGTAGAATAGCTTATTAGGTATGAATATGATAATAGTTCTGATAATTATATTTCAGTCATTAGCTATGGTAAATATCTATTAAATAGTATAATCGAATGCTCTTTTAAAAAATTTTTATTAACAGGCTGAAAATGAACTAAGTCTGGCAAGAAAAATGATACGGTGGAAACCATGGGAGCCTTTAGTGGAAGAGCCTCCTGCCAACCAATGGAAATGGCCAATATAATCATCATTAAATGACTAGCATGTTGATGGGAAACTGATGTAATTAAATGTTCCTTATTATTAATATCTAAAATCAAGACAACTAATACAGAACGTATTTAGGAGACTTGTTAAAATTGATGACTGTGCTAATAGGGATTTGTGAATCCATACTTGATATGTAAAGCATTCACTTAAATTATTTCAAAGATTTTTTTTTTATTTTGTTTTGTTTTTTTTAAAACAGAGAGGTTGTGGAAAGATTGGAAAGTTAATTGGAGAAGTTCTTATAGATTTTCAGTGCAGAAGCCATAGTTGAAATGTGAAGTATTTTTAGGCATGTCTTCAACACATCACTTAATGGTTTTTATCCTGAAAAAAATAGGAAAGATACTTAATTAGTATTGTTGTTTAGACATTTTATAAATCATTGAAGTAGTAAAAGTAAAAACCATCAAATTGTAGTTGTACAGTTGAGGAAACTGATTTGGTATTTGAAAGGAAGACTTATTTATAGTCATTGTAAAAATGTTTCCTTTTGTCTCATTTAAAGAAGTTAGTTTTCTGTTCCTTAGCCTTTTGTTTTCTTGATCAACCAAAGTACATCAAGGTAGAGATAGAATTTATGTAAAAGAAGAGACATGGAGAGTTCCTAAAGTTTATCTGACTTATGAACAGGCTTATATTCAGAACATCTTTGTGTCACATGGGTTGTAACTTCAAAGTAGAATCACTAGGTGGTTTTCACTAAGTTTCTAATATGAGTGCAGCTGGGTATCAAACGAAAATAAATGCTATCGAAGGAAAGAAACAGTTGGCATAAATTACTTTTAATGTGTCCTCACCCTTTTCTCCTGGGCCCTATCATTTCTAAATACTTAAATTTGGTATTTTTTAACTTCAAGATAATGCTCTTGTGTGTTTGTATGCATATGTGTGTGTTTTGCCATTCCTTGTGGCAAAGCAGAATCAATTCAGAATTTTTAGAATGAGAAAATTGTATTTTTTCCAATATATTTCTCCCCTTACAGCGCTGTAAATTAAATGGTAAATAAATATTAAATGAAGTGGATTGAGTTACTTTTTAGCAGTCTGAATGCAAGAGAAAGCTTCTGCGGGGGAAGTGGGAAAACCTTTAGAGGGAGTCAGAAGTCCAGGGGTTCTCATTCCCATGGTCCTGTTGCTGTTGTGAACTCAGTGACCAAGTGGAGGCAAGAAGAATTTATGATTTATAGCTTCCTTTTCAGGTCTAAGCATTTGCTTTCACTATAATAAATTATATTTATAGCCAACCATTTTTTTCAGGTCCTTTGAGCACATAACAAACAGATGACTTGGTGTGTCTTTTCTCCAACGTTTTAGCCCCACTTCCACGGTTCTTGGGTGTCTTATCTATTTCACCAACAGAGCTTCTCTGTGCCTGTTAATTAAAAGGACCTTATTGGGGGCGCCTGGGTGGCTCAGTCAGTTAAGCGTCCGACTTCAGCTCAGGTCACGATCTCACACTCCGTGAGTTCAAGCCCCATGTCGGGCTCTGTGCTGACAGCTCAGAGCCTGGAGCCTGCTTCGGATTCTGTGTCTCGCTCTCTCTCTGCCGCTCCCCTGCTCATGCTCTCTCTGTCTCAAAAATAAATAAAACATTAAAAAAAAAAAAGGACCTTATTGATGTTTGCATTAGAAATGCTAGTGGTAAGGGCGCCGGGGTAGTTCAGTCGCATGAGCGTCCAACTTCGGCTCGGGTCACGATCTCACAGTCTGTGAGTTCGAGCCCCACGTTGGGCTCTGTGCTGATAGCTCAGCCCTCTCTCTCTGCCCCTCCCACCCCCCACGCTCTGTCTCTCTTTCTGAAAAATCAAACCTTAGAAAAAAAAAAATTTTTAAAGAAATGCTAGTGGTAGAATAGTAGTTGTAATACAGTAATAATAGCTAATATTTGTTAATGCTTGCCAGGCACTATTCTAAGTACTTGACTGATTTCCCTCTTAAAGCTGCACTACAACTCAGGAGTATGATTTTTACAGGGCGCCTGGGTGGCTCAGTCAGTTAAGGATCCGACTTCTGCTCTGTCATGATCTCAAGGCTCATGAATTTGAACTCCATGTCAGGCTCTGTGCTGACAGCTCAGAGCCTGGAGCCTGCTTCAGATTCTCTGTCTCCTTTTCTCTCTGCCTCTATTCCAGTTGCGCGCGCGCGCACACACACACACACACACACACACTCCCTTTGTCTCTCAAAAATAAACATTAAAAAAACCAAACTGATCTTGCAAATTATCTCCATTTCTCCAGATAAGGAAACCAGAATTCAGTGTGAATAGTGCTCTCTTGCTATTGTACTCCATTGTAGGCTACGTGGGGACCTTGGAAAAACAGGTGAAGAGATGGTGTAAGAACATAACCGAGGTTGTGTAGCTAGTAAGATGTGGAGCTAAATTTTGAACCTAGACAGTCTTCCTCCAGAACTCGTGTTCTTAACCTTTATATTATTTTTTATGAACATTCTTGGGTTGTTACTCGTGCCTGTACTATGTGGACTTTCCAAAACAGGCTCCATCTTGCTTACTTGTTTTGTCAAAGTAACTATACAGAACAAATAGGAACAGAGGTAGTAAACTGGATTTCATTTTGTGCAAAAATCTTCATATGGATTATAGGTAGATCATGTTAATGGGGTAGGTATTTAAAAGGCATGGCTATGTTTATTTTTACATTTTTTACATTCATGTTTATTTTTACATTTACTAACTGCCATTCCAACTGCTCAGAGAACCTTACTGAACCTGATAGTTTTTTACTCCTATAAACTTCCAGATTAAGCTTTCCTGATCATTTTACAAATGATTCTATTTAAAGATCTTCAGTGTTGCTGAGTGGCTTCTAGACTAATTTTAGTAATTTTCAGAATGGCCTATTTCAAATCTCCCTAGGCTTCTCATATTTCATTCAGATTAATCATACACCACATACTTCAAAAGAAAAAGAAGCTTATCAGTTTGAGCCTTGCAAACAAAAAGATGGCAGCAAAGTTGACGCCCCCTTTCTTCTATCTGGGTACTGAGTACAGAATATTCAAATTTCTCCCATTCTTTCCTTTGGGATGGAAATGATTTACATCTAGGATGACCGTATAATTTTTCATTCAGCCTGTAAATGATTTTGAGAGAAGTGTTAATACTTTCATAAGGATGGGGTTCCGGGGTAGCTCGGTCGAGCATCTGACTCTTGATTTTGGCTCAGGTCATGATTCCAGGGTTGTGGGATCAAGACCTGCATTGGGCTCCGTGCTGAACGTGGAGCCTGCTTAATACTCTGTCTCTCTCTCTGTCTCTCTCCCCGACTCATGTTCTCTCTCTCTAAAAGAAAAAAATTCCATAAGGTAACAGGAATAAACTATGACTGTCACGGGCAAACAGGGTATGTGGCGCCCACTGGAGTAAGGCTCAGTTCTGAGGGCCGCCTTCCTTTCTACCCCAGAAGTTGGAAAAGTAGTCTTACCTGAATAGAAATGACAGGATGTCAGCAGTGGCAGCCATTGTGAGCCACCAGGACTCAGGTTTCATTGTGTTTCTTCATTATCTGTTACTCTACTCCCTGCGCCCCTACCCCCCTCAGAATTGGGATGGAAGAAAAGGGGTTTATCTTTGTCATTTCCTTTTCCAGTCCTAAAGTGCAGTTACAGAAGTGAAGCTAATTGAGCTTTTCGCTGCAAAGCAGATTTATTTTCAAGCACAACGAGGATACTAGATAAAAGTGAAAGCAGTCTTCTGTCAAATGGAGGTCAAGATTCTTAGGTAGCTGACTTTGGGACCTACTACAATGGGAAGGCTTGCTGTGTTGCCCTCGGAACTTGTCTCTACCTGATGCTTTAGCAGGCTTTTCAAACAGATACCCTTTGGGCCAGCTCTTCTAATTCCTTCTGCCCACCAGGATGGTATTCCAGATAGTCTGTGTTCTGTTTATCCAGGAACTCTCCCATGAAGTCTAAGAGATCAGTTCCACTGTTCTCAGAAGCTAAGGTCTTCAGGTCTTGCAGGACCTTGCTTCACATGTGCTCCAACTGCAGAGCAGACATCATCAGAGTTTGTATGCCACTTCCCAGTTCTTTACATCAGGCCCCAGTCACTGGAAGACAGATGGTACCCTCATGTTTTCTCTGTCAAAGGGAGGAAATCAACAATGTTCTGTATAAGAAAATTCCCACATACAGGCTAATACCAACCTTTGCCTTTCCCTCCCAGCCTCCGTAGTTACATAAACATTCCTATGCAAGTGTGTTGTGGGGTCTAGGGTAAAGTAGCAAACCGCTGAACATACCATGAGTATTTTCCAACTGAGGGTAGAATATTCTTTAAAACTCAGTACTTAACTAACGGGATTGCTGCCCATGCTACAATAATAGTAATACTACCTTTTTGAGAACAAAGTAAATGAAAAGGTAGACGTTTGGTTTAGACGAGGATCAAGAGGTTTATTTTTAATAGAATTCACAAAAAATCAAAGTGGGAATGTGATGTGTGATTTGAGTTATTGATGGGGACCGGAGAAGTTTATTTAAAAGTGTTTATTTAGAGGGAATAAATCAAAACTCTAGTTAGTGAAGGAAAGTAGCTGACGATTGAGAAAAATAGTGAATTATAATAGGCTACCCCTAAATCCTAATGTCTTAACAACAGAAGTTTGTTTCTTGCTCATATTACAGGTCTAATGAGGGCTGACAGTTCTCGAAAGAGTCACTCAAGGGCTCTGAGCTGAGGATGATGCCATTTCAACACATGCTTCCATAGCCATAGGCCAGGAGATTTCTCATGATCTTCGAATATCATGTTTGTTTGTTTGCTTGCTTCCGGATGAACATTTTATGCATTTCTAAAGATAAACATTACTGTTTTATAACAATATTTCATTTTACTTTCTTTTTCTATCACTGGACGGCTGATTCCTTTTCTCAGGGTAAAACAGATCTACAATCCCTACCTAAGTACCAGACTTCAAGAATGTTTGAATGGAAGCTTTTTTCATAATTCATTTGGAAGCAAAAGCTGACCTGAATTGGTCTTTATCTCGCTTTAATGTGAATATGAATATATTTTTGTCACAGATTTAATGTATTTGATTCTGGACTACTTCCCCAGACCTACTGACAGTGTTACAGAATATACAGCATATGCTCATATTACCTTTCAAAAATCTGCAAAATCTGAATTCAAACACATTTGTCCCTTAGTTTCAGAAAAAAGTTTTCAGAAAAAAAAAGCATATATATAGTTTCTTAACAAGCTCACAGAGGTGTGGTCCAAACTTAATCCATATAAATAATTTCTAAAAGCATAATTTTCAGGTCCTTGGTTTTCTAAATTCTTCTAATATTTTTTTCTAATACATTCATCTATATCAAAATACATTTTGGCCTGGAGTAAACAATGAGAAATACTTTGAGATGTTTGATTTCACACAGCCACTAGGTGGCATCTTTGTAAAAATAGAAGCACATTAAGGGCGCCTGGGTGGCTCAGTCGGTTAAGCGTCGACTTCAGCTGATCTCACAGTTTGTGATCTCACAGTTCGTGAGTTCAAGCCCCATGTCGGGCTCTGTGCTGGCGGTTCAGAGCCCAAGGCTTGCTTCAGATTCTGTGTTTCCCTCTCTGCGCCCCTCCCCTGCTCACACTCTTTCTCTCTCTAAAAAATAAACAAACAAACAAAAAAATAAAAGCACATTAAAAGATCTGTCTATTGTATAAATAAATACTGAGATAAGGTGGATGTTTCACGAGAAATAAAGTTAAGTCATTTTGAGCAATAAATCCTGAGAAAATGCATAAGTTTATTGTGAAAAGTAAAACGTAAAATGAAATTTAAAAAATTACTTTTCCACTTTCAGAATTGAGATTCTTTTTCCTATTCGTTGTTTTCAGCCTGCATTTACATTTATTTTGTAGAACCAAACAACTATATGTTTGTGTGTATATTTGTGTGTGTATGTATATGTATGTATGTATGTGCATGTGTGTGTATGTGTGTGATTTTGATGTGTAATAGCCACTCCCACCTGTAGAGACTAACTCAGAAACCCACCAATTTAAGTTAGGCTCATATATTTTAAGGCAGTTGTGTAAGATCATCTCCACAGCAAAGTATAAATAAAATATGAACATATCGTGGGTATCAAATCACATTTAACACTGTGAAGTACTTCAAGTTTTCTATCACCAGGTTTTCCTTCCTCCATCTCCTGCCTCTATGCCTACACCTCACGAGGAGGACAGCGAATGATAAATTTTAAAGAGACCCAGCACAGTGAGTGTTTAAAACCAATGGAATTCTCGTTACTAGTAAAATTTAAGATACACTATGATTTTGGAGATGGCAATAGAAGAGTGGAAGAACTTGTTTACATATCTCCAATCACACCTGGTTTACCCATGAGAGACTAACCCTAGGGGTTATATGAATGCTTCCCCCTCTTTTCTCAGCTCTTTGTGAATACGTGGAATCATGAAGCGATTTAAACAAATTTGCTTTTATTTAAAACCATTATTAAAGCTGACTATATTTGAGAATATAATACATATTTTATATTGTTCTAGTAAAAAACTGTCATAAAATGGGATGAAGACATTGAGAAAAATGACACTGGACATTAAGAAGTTATTGGGGGCATGAGAATGTAATTTCAGTGGAACGGTATAAAGGACTGAAGACATTGAACATTATGAATGAAGAATGGACTTTTACTATCTATGACAAAAAGTTTAATTTAATCAACCTTACGTGCCTTTTAACTATCAAAGTGTGTTAAACAACATAGAATAGTCGTTTAAAATTGAGGTCTGGAATCAGACTGGGTTTAATCCTGGCTCCCCACTAAACCTCTCTGAGCCTTAGTTTCCTCATTAAGTAAAACGAGGCTAATCACAACTCCTCTTTAATAAAAACCTTGTAAGGATTAAATTAGAAATATATGTGAAGTGCTTAGTAACAAAATACTTAGTAAGTATTAGCTATTATTATGAAGCTACGTAATATCTGTCACAACATTTGCAACAGGAATATAATTGATCCTTTCCCCCAATAATATGTGCTGCTTTAAAAACCTTCTTAATTTAAAGAATTTACAGTGATGGAAAAAACCTTTATAATTCCGTGATTAACCAAAGCTTTGCTTCTCCTGACTTAAAAGAAGGAATAGCTCCTGTCTCCCTTTTCTCTTTGGCTACCAGGAAGCTAAGAGCCAAGTTCTAATATTTACAAAGGCAAGCAGGCACGCATTGTGTACAACAATCTTCCCTTGTCAAGGTCTTCACTCTCACTTTATATTTACATATAATTACATTACACATAATATATTGCATACCATTTTTTAGATCTATAAGCCAAACTGCTTTCAGCTTTTGGTTTGGAGAACTGTGCCCTGCCGCAAGTTTAAGCGAGAGTCTGGAGGGTAGCGGCCGATTCACTTTAGGACGTAGGTACCCAGCACAGAAAAACCCTGCCGCCAGCTTTCTCCTCCTCGCCCCCGATCCCGCCCAGGTCCCGCTCAGATCCGGTTCAGGACCCGCTTCAGGTCCAGCTCCTCCCTTCGCCACACCCCTCCTCCCGCCCCTCGCCCCTAGCTCCGCCCCTCTCCTTCCCTCCCCCGCTTTTCTTTCCAGCGCGGGCACCGCCTCTTCTCGCGTGAGCGGGGCGGGGCGGGAGGAGGTGGTGCCGGGGCCGTTGCTAGGATATGGCCGGCAACACGGAATGTGGCGGGTGCGGACGCTGCTTCCTCTGAGAGATTTTTGAGAAACCTGTGCGACCCAAGTAGCTGCTTTTCTGAGTCAGGTAGGAGGACAGGTTCTGGCTGCCCTCCCTTGGCCCCACCCTCAGACCGGTCTTGAACCGGTGACAGGCGCTGAACTCCCAGAACTTTGTACGGGGCGCTGATCCCTCCTGGGCTCTGGGGACTGCTTGGCCGCTGGACACTGTTCCACCTTTGCTTCAGAAACCGTGCAAAGCATCCCATCTTTCTTAGTTCCTTTTCTGGCTCTGGATCTCAGGTTTGGGATTCGGAAGCAGCAGCAGCAAGGCGGGAGGTGTACCTCATCTTCCACCCGGAGTGCTTATCACGGTAGTAGTAGTAGTAGGTAGGCATCCCTGGGGGCCATTTTGAGTCTTTTCTAAATAGAGGGCTTTCATGCTTTCCTCCTTGGCACTCTCCTCTCCACCCACGGTCTTTGCTGTAACTCTTAAAAAAACGTAAAAATTAAACAGGTTTATTTGGTAGAAGGCAAAACTGGATCCCAGCCTTACTGGTTCCATCAACATTCTACATATATCAGTGAAATCATGCAAACTGTAAGTGAAAGGGGGACATTTTTGTATGCAATCATCATAGGGACTACTTTGGACAATGTTTTTAAAGATGAAAACATTTAAGTTTGGGTAGGTAAAGGTAAAAGTGATAAAAAGTTCAAACAGTAAAAAGACTGTGCAGTGAAAATCTGTTTTATGCTTCAAGGACCCGGCCTTAGGACAGTAGTGTGTTATTGAGACCATCTGGACTGGATTCCTGACCGCACCCAGTAAAGGTCCTGTATAAACTCTTTAAGATTCTGGCTGGTGGGTCCAGAGATCTACTGTCTTGCAGCTGCCAAAGATAAGCCTTGTTTGTAAGTTCCCTTGCTTATTAAACTTGCCACCTACCATTCTGGAATGCTGCCTCTTTCTTTGGTTTCTCCTTGCGTTCCATGTATGGGGCTCAGTTTTGGATTTAACCCCGGGGGAACTCTAGAGGTTGTAAACCAACAGCTTTGCTTTTTTACTTAATTGAATCGTAAAGTATGTAGCTTTTAGAATTGGCTTAGCATAGTTCATTTGAGATTTGCCCATGTTGTATCAATAATTTATTCCTTTTTTTATTGATGAGTAGTATTCCATTTTATGAGTGTCTCATATGTGCAGCCGTGCCTCAACTAAGGAACATTTGTGTTGTTTCCAGTCTTTGGTGATTAAGAATATAGCCTTTATGGGGCGCCTTGGTGGCTCAGTCGGTTAAGCATCTGACTTCAGGTCAGGTCATGATCTCATGGTTTGTGGATTCCAGCCCCTTGTCAGACTCTGTGCTGACAGCTTGGAGCTCAGAGCCTGGGGCCTGCTTTGGATTCTGTGTCTCTCCCTCCCCCCCACCCCCGCCGCTCTCTCTCTGCCCCTCTCTTGCTCACGCACTCTCTTTCTCCCAAAAGTAAACATTTAAAAAATCAAAAAAGAATAAAGCATTTATAGACTTTTGTATACAGATTTTGTAGGTGTGTAGTTTTTCATTCCCTCTGGGTAAAGGACACAGATTGCTGGGTCATATGATAAGCATATATTTAATTTTATAAGAAAACTGACAGTTATTTTAAGTGCCATACAATTTTCGTTTCCACCATCAAGGTATAAGAAGTCCACTTGTCTTCATACTCACTAGCACTTGCTATTGTTGGGCTAAAAATATATATATATTTGAAGTTCCATTTCTGTAATAACGAATGACACTGAGCATCTTCTCACGTGCTTGTTCTCAGGCCGGGGCTAGAATGAGGCAACTGGGTCCCAAACTTAGGAGGCATCTATTTTTAGGTGCACCTGCAACTATAGCACAGCGCGGTGCTGCATTGCTCCTGTGCTGCTCTAGTCTTGACCCCGCTTATTTGTCTTCTGAAGGATATTCTTTGTTGACTTACCTGTTTAAATATTTTACTCATTTTTAAACTACTATTCTTTTCTTGTTGAGTTTTGAGAGTTCTCTATATATTCTGGTTACAAGTCCTTGGTCAGATATGAGCTTTGTAAAAAATTGCCCCCCGGGCTATGGTTTGTCTTTTTATTCTTCTAGGTGTGTTTTTAGAAGAGCAAAAGTTCTTGATTTTGTTGTTATTGCTGTTTTAGAAGAGGACAGCTTGGCCATTTTAGCGGGGGGAGGATGACCCACCAGACGGAGACAAAAGCATTACCTCAGCCTCCCCGAAGGAATGGGAGGACTATGTTTGCCAGGAATCAGGGCTTCCTTATGAGACTCTTTCTAATCAGGCCATTATGCCCCATTATGGGAGAAAATAACCAAAAGGAAGATTTTTTTTTTTTGTAAGTGAGAGCCTAAAGAAGTTTCTTGAATGTTTTAAAAATTGAGCTTTTGTTCAGTTTTTTTTTCTCATTTCACTTTTTCTCTTTATTGTTTTGGAATTTTAAACCTTTATCTCAGCTCTTTTATTGGTTGTACTTGAAATTCACCTATGCATATTTAATTTAACAAAGTCTAGGGTTAAGAATATCATATCCCTCAATTTTGTAAATAGTATAAGGATTTGAGAACACCTCATGCTCATCTTTCCCTTCCTAATTACATATTACTATTGTCTAATATTTCAGTTTTCTGTTATTTTGTGTTGACAGTATTTGTTTGGGGTTTACCCATATGTTTATAATTTATTTGTTCACCTCTCCTTTTGCACTTTGGACTTCGGTTGAGCCCATTTTCCTCCATCAAATGTATCGTTTACAAGTCCTTAGAGTAGATACCTTGGTGGTAACTTATTTGTTAAGTGTTTCAAAAGATAATTTTGCTAAGGGCACAGTTTTAGGTTGATAGTTCTCTTCTTTTAATTAGTCCATCGTTGCTGTGGCTTCTATATTTCTGATGAGAAATCTACAGTGAGTTTACTTTTCTCCTTTGTATTAATGTTAGCAAATTAATGTAATCAAAACCGTAGATGATATGTACTTTATCACTGTATGCTTTCCAGACCTTCTCTGTTATTCTGTAATGTAATTACAACATATATGGCTTTGAATTGTGTTTACTTACCCTGTTAAGTGCATATTTATGTTATGCTTCTTGGGTCTTTGCATCCATATTTTTTATCAGCTTTGTGAAATTCTCAGCCATTACCTTTAAAAATATCTTCTCTCTTCCATCTTTTTGTTTTCTCTGGGATTCCAATGTGACCTATACTAGATCAGGGGCTGGCAGACTCTTTCTGAAAAGGGCTTCTCAGGCCACGCGCAATCTCTGTTGCATATTCTTCGTTGTTTTTTATTTTCAAGTACAAAACCATTCTCAGCTCACAGTAAGATCTACTTACCAGTAAAATAGGCTAGACTTTCTTTTTCTCTTTTGCATGGCCCTTAATCTCATACTTTTCATCTCCTTATCTCTTTACAGCATTCTATATAAAATCTTTTTATTTATCTTCTAGTTCATTAATAATTCTCTCTTGAACTCTAATGCTATGTTCATTGAATTCCATAAGTATATATTTTTATTCCAGATATTCCACACTTTTGGAAATTTGTCATCTAGTAGACAGAGAACTTCACTGACTAACGTTATTTTTTTTCTCTATAAGGATTTGTGCTTAACGTGTTAGCCCTCAACACAACTTTCCCATCTCACTACTGGTCCAAGTTCTAGTCTGCCCCCTGCTGGGCCACTTCTCCCATCCTCCCTTCCATCCTCCCTTCCACCCTCCCTTCCTGGCTGCCAGCTTTTTAAGGTAGGCTTCCTGCTCTGCTGGCTCTTCACTGCTCTGATTCAGCTCCTGCCCCTGCAGCCTGGCTGTTGGCTGCCCTAGGCCACCCTGGGCCCAAGCTCCTGGATGCTGTCATACTGTCTCCCAAGCCAAAGCTCTTGGTTGCTGTAGCTCAGGCCCTAGCCAGCTCCAAGATCCTCCCCACAGTTTGTTGATATGTTTGTTCTGGGGAACAGAGGTCATTGGAGACCTCTGCTACGATTTGTGAGAGCAAAGCTACTACAAAGAGTGTTTACTATCTGGGGTACGGTTGCTGTGGAGCCGGCAGAATCCTTGGAGCTTCTAATCAATTGTAACCTCAGAAGCGTAAATCCTGTGTTAGGTTGTGTTTAGAAAAAAAAAAAAAAAACTATTCAAATAAGTTCTTTCACAAGGCATTGTTCATTGACTAAGGAAGAGGTGACAATATGTTTTAAAATATTTTTAAATATGTTCTTGACAGTAGATCTTTCTCAAATTTATTGTGCTTTGAGGTCCTCTTTTGGTGTAATTTTTACTTTCTGTGTTGTTTTTATTAAAAATTCACCAGTGTTTTCACCTGATGCCATTGCTAAAATAATCAGTATTTTTAAAAAATAATGAACAACATTGCACAATGTATACCAGCAATGAATTTGATATTTGGTATAGAAATTTTTATGTGTAATAAATGTATTTATGTTTCTTGGTTCAGGAAAATGTCTGATCAGAAAGAAGAATTTGTTGCTCAGAATACTGTTAATGCATCAGAAGAAAATGATGATGCTTTTGAGACTATCAATATTCCGGTTCCCTCAGAAGAGCTTCCGGAGTCCAATCAAACTGAAGATAATGAATCTGAAGTAGAACTGTCTGGTGAGGGCCATGGCACACATGCTGAGGAGGAAAGTAGCCAGAGGTTACCAAGCCTGGAACCAAACGGCGAAGAACAACCTGTGGGAGAGGTTATGTTGCCCAAACACGCTTCATATTCTCCAAGACATTCTCCAAAGCACTATCGAACTGAATATGATAATGCAATGCTGCCAGCCAGAGGGTATTCTGGATCTCTGACACTTCTGAATAAAATAAAGGCCATAAAGGAATCTCTGAAAACATCAATGAAAGATTCCTTAGCAACAGGTATTACCTAGGGAAGATAGGATATTCTGTACCTCATGTCGAAGAACGTTTACTTTTTTAAATTTGTTTTTGTTTAAGGTTTGTTTTATATGTGATATTACATACTTTCCCTATCCCTTTCCCTTATCCACAAAACTTCTGTAGCTACTGCCACTGCATTTCTAATTATGTGTGAAGCTTCTCTATTGTGCAGGGTACTATTTTCCCTAAATAGATGAGCGCTATTAAACTTTAAGTTGATGCTGATCTGTTTTTCCTAAGTGAAGTAGGTTTTTTTAAATGTTTAGGGACCTTGGAAAATGGTGGACAAACTGTTGAGTATAACTGTAATTCTTTGACATGCCTCTTTGGAATTGATTCTTCATAGCTGCCAAGAAAGAGTTGGAATGGGACTTGACTCCAGAGAGCCTAGTTCCATCTCTAGTGGTCATTCCTCACATCTTGTTACTTTTACATAATTCTAGACTTCTGTTTAGTGTTAACTTTATATTTAGCTTCAGGAAAACTGTCGTTGTCTTGCATTATAGGTTAATTTTGAAGGCATAATGTTGATGCCGTGTAGGAGTCATTACTACGTGGTTAGTAACAAAGCCAACGTGGAGTGGCAAGAAGGGGGCTGCACATAGAACCATCCTAGTTGGGTGATTCACTGATTGCTCCTCCTCTCTCTTGTCCATAAGTTTTGAAATTGTTCATCCATAGGGTGAAGAACATGGGCTATCATTTAACAATTAAATAGCAGCTTAGTTTGGCTGGTAAAATGTAGCTTTTGAATCCAGTGGGGGCAGTGTATCCTTGTGTGGCACGTCAATACAAGTAAAGAATGAGAAGGAGGAAGGAGAAGAAAGTAATCAAGCCCAATTATATGTAACTGAAGCTGTTATCCTTCAGTTTCATTATTCACAATAAATTTAGGCTCCATTTGTTTGTTTATTTTTTAAAGTAATCTGTACGCCCAACGTGGGTCTCGAACTCATAACCCTGAAATCAAGAGTCGCATGCTGTACCAGCTGAGCTAGCCAGGCACCCCTGGGCTCTATTTTTTGATATTTCTGTGATTTCCTGATACTTTAGCTTTTAACAAACACATGGTGATTAAGATAAAGTTGTCTTGGTCCTGTACTTCCTGAGACTCATAAATTCCTTCACATACCACTCCTTCCCAAAGCTTAGGAAGTCACTGCTATGAAAATTTTAAAATATATTAACCATAGAATTTTGAATCCATAAAACAGCTAAAATAGCCTTCTGATAATATCTGTGAAAGTGTTTTCTTTGTTGATAGCTGTGAAAACAAGTTTTAACAATCTCAATCTTAACATTGACAATACCTAGTTAAATTTCATTCTGAGATTTAAAAAAAAAAGTTTTTTTAATGTTTATTTTTGAGAGATTGAGAGACAGAGTATCAGTGGGGGAGGAGCAGAGAGAGAGGGAGACGCCGAGTCTGGAGCAGGGTCTAGACTCTGAGCTGTCAGCACGGAGCCTGACGTGGGGCTCGAACCCACGTACCATGAAATCATGACCTGAGCTGAAGTCGGACGCTCAGCCGACTGAGTCACCCAAGCGCCCCTCATTCTGAGATTATTAATAAATGTCTCATTTAGCTTTATGAAAATTGTCATGTGTCAGGCATCTAGAAGTATACAAAACTTTTTTGGCCTACAGTGTGCACTCTACCCTCCAACTTACTTATTACATCTTCTCCATTATAATTTAAAGTCTATAGATGTAAAAGAAGAACGTTTACCCCAGTATAATCAGCTTTTAAATACTATGTTTCCCTCCTATAATTTGTGAAGATAATCATTTTATAATAAGTTTTTTGTTATCAACATGTGTCTTGATTTCCTATTTTATAGAATGTGTAATGAACTGTATAATGTCCATTTTTGTGAAAAGTAGATTTGTGTGCAGTTATTCTAGATGTTTGTAATGAACAGTGATTTCCTGCCTTGCATTTTGGCAATATAGACATAAATCAATTATGGGAGGAAGAATGGGGCACCTGGGCGGCTCAGTCAGTTCGGCGCCCGACTCTTGGTTTCAGCTCAGGTCATGATCTCGTGGTTTGTGAGTTCTAGGCTCACATTGGGCTCTGTACTGACAGTGTGGCATCTGCTTGAGATTCTCTTTCCCTCTGTCTGTACCTCCTCTGCTCACTTGCTCTCTCTCTCTCTCTCTCTCAACATAAATACACATTTAAAAAATTATGGGAAGAGGAATGGACTTAGTATTAGACACCTTCTATTTTGAAAATTTCTTTATTGACTTTTCTTAACTTCATGAATAATCACTGATTTACTAATGCATGCTATCAATGTGTAATCGAAGTATGCACATTCATAAGTTCAGGGACAACCTCTAGGTCTTAGGGTCTCCCCTTCCAATACTCAGTACACAGAAATGCTTGAGTTTCTGAGATGCTCCTGTGTTTATATCTGAGTAATGTAATACCAGATACCAATACCAAATTAGTACCAAATAATACCAGTGTAACACCAGATATTGGAAATCTTTAAAAGTAGTTTAGCTTTATTTCTTTCTTATTTCTTGTGGCATTTTGAGCAAAGAGGTAATCTTGAAAGTGCATTGAACCTCATAGCAGAGACTGGAATAATGATCTGAACTTTTAAGCTAGAGTTGGGGGAGCAGGTATTGACTACTGATGCTAATTCTTGAGATTCTGAGTTAATTTTCAAAACCAAAACTGAATGTCACTTCTCATAGCATTTGAAAAGTAACTCTTATCATGGAGGTACAGTGGGGGAACATGGCAGAGGCAACCTGCATTCTATGTGGTTAAAAATTGTCCCATAATTTTCTATCTGCTTATGCACTGGGTTGCTGACCCTTGCTTTTGACTATGATTCTTTCTTTTCTCTTTTTATCTATAGTAAAAGTTGTACTTTTTCCTGTGGGCCAGGAAATTATAATGCCTTTTAAAATAGACTCCATTGTAAAGTACCTCAAGGATCATTTTTCATACATATTAAGTATCCCATCTAACGTACTGCAGATGAGATATTCAGGTAAGCTTGGAAGCGAATAAAACTTATCAAGACTTCTTTAGTTTTAATGTGTAGATAAACAAGATCTTTAATTTGTTAAATGAAATATCTTGATATTTACTATTTGAACATTATATTGTGATTATACATTCATTCAACTCATTTTTATTGAGTACATATTTGTTCTAATACTTTGCTAAGAACTAAAGATGTAGAGAAACATGAAACAAAACTTTGTCGGTTTACAGACTAGTCAGAAAGATGATATATGCAATAGTTAACCACATAATGTGCAAATGTTTTAATGGAGATATGCTCAAAAAGCTGTGAGAACAGAGAGGAAGGAAACCGGGAGGTTCTAGAAAGCTTCATTTAATAAAAGTGACAATACGTGAGCTGAGTCCCAAAGAGGTGAGAAAACCTGGGACTTCAGGGAAGTGGTAAGAAGTTTAGAGTGGCTGGAAGTAGATGCTGTGTGGTGAGTAGGAGGCAATGAGGTTGAAAGAAGTGGATAAGGATGAGCATGTATAAAATAAGAAGAGGCCTGAAAACGATTTATCTGTCAGTCCTTATACAGTAAGGTGAATTCACATTCCCTGATGTTCAAGTTTACTTATATTTTGTGGGCAGTATTGGACAGCCCGCTTTATGTAGCTTTGTGTCATGGGAGGATTTAGTCTTTGTAACTGTGATATAATTAGTAAAACCATGATAGTTAAATAAATGTTTCTATAGAATATGTCTGCACAGATCCTAATATTTTCATTTTAAAAGTTTTGGTACTAACTTAAAAAGATGCCACCAGAAAGTTTCCAGGGAAATAAAAACATTTTTTGTGTGTGGGAAAATCCTAAATACTAAAAAGGATTAAGCCACACCTGTTAAGTTCCTCCTTGTCAAATCAGAGAAAATAATCAGTTCAATTTCAAAATTATTTTTAGAAAACTGTTATAATGAATGTGCTGTAATACTAAGATGTTCATGTATTCAAACAACTGATTACTAAGGTTGGTTAGGGAAACAATACTAAAATTTAAACTTATTAGTAATAACAATCATGATAGTTAATTTATTGAGCACATATTGTGTACTAGTCCTATAAAATGTTTTGCCTATATTATCACATTATCATTCAACCCACATAACAACCCTTTGACATAGGTATTATTATTAACTTTTTTTTTTGAAAGAAGGAAACTAAAGCTTGGGAAACTAGCATAAATTCACATAGCTAATGAGTGTTAGAGTCTGAACTTAAACATAGGTATGACTCCAAAAAGGGAATTGGAAATTGTTTGGCATTATATACAAAGTGAAGTTCAAAACTGGAGAAGAGAGAGCACTTTGAGCCTGGAGTAGCTAACTAGTGGTACCTGAGACTAATCTTTGTTCTTTGCACTTCATGACCTTTCCTCTGTATGTGTAAGTGCCAGGCATCACCACTGGGTAACAGGGTTATGTCAGCCATGATAATTAAAGAGCTTGATTCTGTGTCAATCGCCCTCTAAGACAGGTGCTTCTCCTAGTACTAGAATTGGAGTTCAAATTGGGACTAAGCCTACTATACAAACTAGAGGAATGAAGAGAAGAAGGGTCTGGGAATCTATATTCGTTTTCTATAGCTGTTATAACAACCACAAGCTTAGTAACTTAAAGCAACACATGACTTCTCTTATTGCTCTCGAGGCCAGAAATCCTAGATCAGTTTCACTCACATGAAGCTGACATACAGGCAGGGCTGTTCTCCCTCTGGAGGTTCTGGGGACAATCTGCTCCCTTGTCTTTTCCACTTCTAGAGTTGTATACCTTGCATTCATTGGCTTGTTGCCCCCTTCCTCCATCTAAAGCAAGCAGAAGAACATCTTCAAATCTCTCTCTGCTTCTGTCTTATCATTTTCTCTATAGTCACATCTCCCTTCCTTCCTCTGTAAAGGCATTTGTGATTACATTTAGAACACACTTAGATAATCCAGGATAATCTCCTGATTTCAAAAATTTTAACTTAATAAAATTTGCAGTCATCTTTGCCATATAAGGTAACATTCATTGGTTCTGGGGATTAAGACATGGATATATTCTGGGGCCATTATTCAACCTATTACAAAGCCCGTATAACATTCATGTTAATTTTCTAAGTTAAGAATTTGGGGTGTGGAATTGAAACTCAAGCATCTTTATACTTTCTTAAACATAGCAAAAATAAACTGGTGGTATCTGATATATTTCTAAGAATTAATGTAACAAAACCTTTGCTATGTTCAAATTCCCAATTGTAATTTAGGATGACCATTCATTGGAAGAGTCATATATATTCTATCAAAACAGCAGCCAATAACATTACACATATTTTTGTATTCCTTAAAATAGAGAAATAAAATTGGAGTCAATTTATAGAATAAGCCAATGAAGGGGGTAGAAGTAAAAAAGATACAAAATAACATAAAAATATAGTGGTGTGCACTTTTTCCAGCACAAAGCTGAAGCTTAACTCTACTTTTCCATGAATTTACTAATATGAGTTCCTGATTATAGAAACAGAAAGAGAAGGATTCTTTGGAACTCTGAGTATATGCTTTTCTGCATTGGAGACAGGAATGGGTATTACAATAATCAAATTTTCCCTGAATTAGATATGTCCTGTGCTTACACACATTGTGATTTTTTTTAGAGAATCAATGTTTAGAATACGATTTTACTCATAGAATATGTTTTTACTTTAAAATATCTATAGAGTTGCATGCTTATTATATATTTGTGTTTCTGATGAGAAATCCTGTGAGAGTTATAGCTTTATTTATAATGTGGAATTCTTGCATCTTAACTTTTCCCATTGTGGAGTTTTCTGTACTAACATTATAGTAAGGGGTGGACATCATCAATATTCTATTAAGTAATTAAACTATATGTGTTCATAGAATCATCTTCGATGTTTTTGATCCCCTTAAAATGAGTACATATAGTTATTTCTTTGTCATACACTTCTTATAGTTTCATGTCATTTTTTAGGAATAATCCTTAAAAATAATGAGACCCTGCTACAACATGGAGTTAAGCCACAGGATATTGTACAAGTGGAAATCTTTTCTACAGATCCAGATCTATTTCCAATCAAAAGAGTAGATGGATTAAGTGATGCCTCTCACATCATAACTGTCAGAGTACAAACTGGTTAGTTATTTGATGTCTTTTAGATAAAGTATTTTAGAGTCACTTTGTAGGTGAGCTTTCATTCAGTCTTGGTTTTTACCTCCTTAGGCATTGCTCAGTACCAGGACGTAGCTGTTGAGATTATAAAATCTGACTTTCACAAACCATTTCTTGGTGGATTCAGACATAGAATAACAGGAGTAGAATATCACAATGCTGGAACACAAACTGTACCTAAAAAGATTACCAAAAAAGACTATGCATTTTGTAGGGATACCCAGGTAAGAGTTTTATTTTCCTATGGAGATTTTTGAAACTGCAGAATCAACAAATGTTCTGTATACCTGTCTAAAGTCTTCCCCATTTGCAACGATGTGGGTATGCTAAGTGAAATAAGTCTGTCAGAGAAAAGACAAATGCTATATGGTTTCACTCATATGTGGAATTTAACAAACAAAGAAGCAAAGAGGGGGAAAAAAGAGAGAGAGACGCAAACCAAAAAACAGACTCTTAACTATAGATAACAAACTGATGGTGATCAGAAGGAGGTGGGTGGGGGGATAGGTTGAATGGGTCATGGGGATTAGGAGTACACTTGTGAGGAACACTGGGTGATGTATGGAAGTGTTGAATCACTATATTGTACATCTGGAACTAATATTACATTGTATGTTAACTAGAATTTAAATAAAAACTTAAAAAAATTAAAATCTTTCAAGGAATTATATGGCAATTAAAATAATAACAGAAAATTTACTAAACAGAAAAATGTGCTCTTTACTCACTTATATGTGTATATAGTGGATATTTAAATATTTATGTTTTTATTTTAGACAGTTTTTCAGAGAAAAAAGCTCCAGCAAACTACAAATACAACATCCACACAGATGACTAAAATTGGGGTGTATGTATCAAATATGACTGATAAACTGGTAACACCAGGAAAATATTTTTCAGCAGCAGAATACCATGCTCAAAGATTACAGGCGGTAAGATAACTTTTATCATGAGTGAATTTTAAAACTGAAGTACATAAGCCAGTTGTTCTGTGTGTGTCTGCCTGCGTTTCTGTATTCCACACTAGTTTACGAAGAACACCTACGTGAGTGTTGTTAAAGAAAAAATTATTCGTAACACGTATTAAAGATGGTAAGGCAAACTTTTTCAAGAGGGGCTACTCCTTGGAGTTTTGTAGTAGGGAAGAGAGATTGGGCTCAACCCCAAATAAAAAAACTGGGAAAACTGGAAATTTATAGCCAAGGAGTAGGGTAGGGGTCAATGGAAGGGAAATTACCATGAAAACATGAAAGGAAATGGGAGATCCTGGCTAACCCATTCTAATGGGATTTTTGCTGAAGGCAGGCCAGAGTGATTAGGCATCATCTGTTGGATATGAAGGAAGATGAGGAACCTGATCAAATATTGAGGATAATCACATATGAGGGTGGGGATTCTGGTTAAACTTACTTACCAGGATTTTGCTAAAATTGAACAATGCAGAGATGAACACAGAAGCCCAAAAGTTGAGGCCTAGTTGAAAAAATGCCTGATTAGAGTTTGGTCAAGGAGAGAATGTTTATCAGTCAGAATCATGTTTTACTGGTATTAAAAGCAGTTTTTATCTCCACATCCTCCCCCAATTGTTGGGGCCCCCCCCCCCCACCGCCCCCCGTAAAAGGAACAAGAATTCTAAATGCTCCTAATCCCTTCCTTTCCTTTAGGGATTCCCAGGGGTTTTGTGTGTTATGTTTGGCCATTATTGGTTTTGTCCATCTCTGTCCCTTAACCTTAACTCCTCTATCCCTTGGCCTTAATCCCTGGGACAGTAGAATCACCTACGGAGCTTTCCAGAGTAATTGAAACCAAAGCATACTAAAGTCTGTTTTCTCTGATATTGATATAATTGCCGCTCCAACTTTTTTATGTTACATTTGCATTGTCTTTTTCTGTCCTTTTACTTTCAATCTATTTGAGTCTGAATCTAGTGTGTATCTCTTGTAGACAGCATATAATTGGATCTTGTCTTTTTATCTAGTCTGATCATCTCCACCTTGTGATTGGAGTGTTTAAAACATTTATATTTAGTTTAATTATTGATAAGGTTGGATTATATCAGCCATTTGCTATTTGTTTTCTGTATGCCATTTGTCTCTCTTATTCTTTCTTCTTCCTTTACTGTCTTCTTTTATGTTAAATAGGTATTTTCTAATGTACCATTTTAATTCTTTTTTTTTAATTTAAAACCTTTACTTTTAGTATAATATATACTTTAAAAAATATGCAATTCAATCATTTTTACTATATAAGCAGAATTATACAACTGTTACCACAATCAATTTTAGAACATTTTCATCATCCTGGAAAAAAAATCCTGGACCCAATAGCTGTCAATCCCTATTTTCTGTCTTAGGAAACCACTGATCTACTTTCTGCCTGTATTGATTTGCCTATTCTGGATATTTCATATACAGGGAATCATACAATATGCAGCATTGAATAAATGTTTTTGTTTATTTTTGAGAGAGAGGGAGACAGACAAAGTGTGAACAGGGGAGGAGCAGAGAGAGGGAGATACAGAATCTGAAGCAGACTCTGAACTGTCAGCACAGAGCCTGATGCGGGGCTCGAACTCACAAACTGTGAGATCATGACCTGAGCCGAAGTCAGATGCTCAACTGACTGAGCCACCCAGGCACCCCACAATATGCAGTATTTTGTGATTGGCTATTTTTAAACGTAACATAATGTTTTCATGGCTTATCCATGTTGTAACAGGTATCAATATTTCATTCCTTTATACTACAGAATAATATTACATTATAGGTACTCAATTGGATATACCTACGGTATCTATGCCAGCGTATATACTGTATTTTCTTTGTCTATTTACTGGTTGATGGACATTTGGGCTGTTTCCACTTATTGACCATTAGGAATAAAGCTGCCATAAACATTTATGTACTAATTTTTATGTGGACATATGTTTTCATTTCTCCCGGGGTATATGTCTAGGAGTATAATTTGTATCATATGGTGAATATAGATGTTTAACCATTTTAAGGAACTGTCAGACAGTTTTCCAAAGCAACTACACCATTTTATGTCCCACCAGAAGTATACAAGGATTCTAATATCTTCACATCCTCATCAACACTTGTTATTGTCTGTTTTTTTCATTATAGCTGCTCTAATAAAGTGAAGGGACAGCTCATTTGGTTTTGATCTATACACCATGATGACTAATGATACTGAATATCTTTTTATGTGCTTGTTAGCAACTTGTCTGTATTCTTAAGAGAAATGTATATTCAGATCCTTTGCCATTTTTAATTGGGTTCTCTTCTTTATTATTGCTTTGTTGTTTTTTAAAATTATTTTTTTTTAGTTATTTCCTAAGTGGTTGCTCTAGTGTAATTTAGGGATTACAATATACATCTCAGTTTATAACAATATACTTGACAGTAATACTAACTAAAATCCAATAAAATACTGAAACTTTGCTCTAATAAAACTTCAATTTCAGGGGTGCCTGAGTGGCTCAGTCAGTTAAGCGTCAGACTTCAGCTCAGGTCATGATCTCATGGTCCTTGAGTTCGAGCCCCATGTCGGGCTCTAAGCTGACAGCTCAGAGCCTGGAGCCTGCTTCGGATTCTGTGTGTCCCTCTCTCTCTGATCCTCCCCCGTTCATGCTCTGTCTCTTTCTGTCTCAAAAATAAATAAACATTAAAAAAAAACCCTGCAATTTCATCCCTTCTCCTTTGTGCTATCACTGTTCTACAAATTTATATATTCTTTGTATATTTTAAGCTCTACAAATCCTTTTATAATTTACCGTTTTATGCAGTTGTCTTTTAAATAAGTTAATCATAGGAGATCCTGGGTGGCTCATTTAAGCATCTTACTTACGCTCAGGTCATGATCTTGCAGTTTATGGGTTCAAGCCCTGCATCGGGCTCTGTGCTGACAGCTCAGAGCCTGGAACCTGCTTCGGATTCTGTGTCTCCCTCTCTCTCTGCCCCTCCCCTGCTTGTGCTCTCTTTCTCTCTCTCTTTCTCAAAAATAAATAAACATTTTTTTAAAAAATTAAAAAAAATAAGTTAATTGTAGAAAAGAAGATATGTATAGTCCTTGATATTTACCTATATAATTATCTTTTCTGGTGCTATTTATTTCTTCATTTGGGCTAAAATTAATATCTAGTGTCATTTCCTTTCAGTCTAAAGAGCTCCCTTTAGTATATCTTGTGTATGCTTGTTTGCTTGATGGTATCCTGAATATCTCTGTTCATTTACCTTATTTTTTTCCCATCCCCTCAGGGCAGATAATTTCTAATGATGTATCATCACATTTATCATTTTTATTATGATAAAAATTATTATATTATTCAGATCTGTTTTTGAGCCTGTCCAATAGGTTTTAATTTAATTAAAATCCCAAAATTTTCATTTGGTTCTCTTTTTTAAATAATTTCTTTTTACTGATAATAATTTTTACTGATAAATAATAATATTTAACTGATAATAATTTCTTTTTACTAATTTTCTTTTTACTGATATTCTCTATTTTATGAATCATTGCCATCTTTCTTTTAACTTTTAAACTTTATTCCCTTTAGTTCTTTGAACATGTTTATCATATCTGCTTTGAAATCTTTGTAAGTCCAACATCTTAGACCCCTCAGAGGCAGTTTCTATTGATTGGTATATTTTTTCATTCTAAATTGGTCATACTGTCTTCTTTTTGCTCTCATAATTTTGTTGTTGTTGTTGAAAACTAGACATTTTAAGTAACATTGTAGCAACTCTGTATCCTGTCCCTGTTTACTCCAGGGATTGATGTTATATCTGTCTTATATTTGTTTAGTGATTTGTCTGGATTAATTAATTAGAGCAGTGGTTCTCAACTGGGAGTGATTTTGCTCCCCAGGCAGCATTTACATTGTCTGGAGATATTTTTGATTATGACTTGAGGGTGAGGGTGCTAGTGTCATTTAATGGTAGAGGACACATATCGTGCCAAATATCCTATAACGCGTAGGAAACTCCAACCCCACTGCAGCAGCTGGTTATCTGGTCCAAAATATCAACAGTGCCATTGCTGAAACCTGCTTTAGAGTTTGTCTCTATCACAATATATGGCCATTGATTTCTCTGCTCAAAAGAAATGTTGTTGTTTTTCTTCTTGTAAGTCTGGCTTCCTAAGGGTTGCCCCTGGTTTAACATAGCTTAATGGTTAGGTAATGATTGATCAAAGGCTGTGCTCAAATTCCTGGAGCTGGTAAAGCTTCCACTCTCACTAATGGATCCATGTGTTTGGAGGATGCATTGGAAGTTCAGACAAGTTTAGTTTATGACCATCCTGGCTTTTACTTTCTGCTGGGTTTTCTTCTTGCATTTCTTCTGCACAAGGCTTCACAGGCAGCCTGGGATATGTGAACAGGTAGGGCTTTCTCCAGTCTCTCCTGAGTATGTATTCATCCTTGTACATGTGTTCAGCCTTCAGACTACCAAGGATATTTGGGAAGTTATCAGGGCTCGCTGTGGCCTATCTCCTTTTCCTGATATCTCTGATTAATTTCTCACTAGTCTGCCTGTCTGTTGCTTGCTCCAGACTACAATCTCAGCTATCTGAGTTGCTGGCCTCTTTTTTTTTTTTTTTTTTTTGCCACAGAGATTACTATTGTTTGTGACATTGCTTAGGGAGTATAGAGTTTTTCTTTGCTTCATTTTAAATCAATTCAACACCCTGAAAGTGGACACAGATAAATCCAGGGTGAGGAGAAGGAAGATACGAGAGCAGCCCCAACTTGAAATGCCATAGACTATTAGTGCTCCTACTTGAGGGTTAGTAATCTTTCTTCAATAAACATTTATTTGATGTATGCCTTTGGTCAATTTCCAGAATCCTGAAATGGTTATTATTTTTTTTTTAAAACAATTTTGTACAGTTTTATCATTCCTTTTTGGAGAGAGCATTTGATGAGACTTTT